ACTTATTTCAATGGTGTCAATAGATTGTGCCCTGTGTGTCTGATTAGAATGCTGCCTTTAAGGGTACCCACAAGGGACAAGCTGTGTCCCTTTGCCTTGCAGCAGAATTGCCCATTCCTCTCTGCTGTTACTTCTCTAGAACTCTTTTGTTTTACACCACCCAGAGGGATCTTTAGACATGGATTCCACTGGTAACAGGTTTCACTAGTAATAGGAATGAAACTGACTTAACACGGAGAGACATCTATCCATTCAGCAACAATACTGTCATGAACCTTAAGCCACGACTCTTAAGATTTCTGTTGATAAGAAGCAGCCTTCCTTATGAAGGGAAGTAAGATGCAGTTCCCTCTGAGTCCATGTGTTCTGACTCCTTTAGGGATGGCCGACACAATGGGGTGGCCCATTGTAGGAAGCGGCCTAATACCAGGGTGAGACTCTTTGTACACATAGTTCAGAATTGTCTACTCTGATTTTTGTTGTTTAGTCGTGTCTGACTCTTCGTGACCCCATGGACCAGAGCACGCCAGGCACTTCTGTCTTCCACTGCCTCCCGCAGTTTGGTCAAACTCATGCTGGTAGCTTCGAAGACACTATCCAACCATCTCATCCTCTGTCGTCCCCTTCTTCTTGTGCCCTCCATCTTTCCCAACATCAGGGTCTTTTCCAGGGAGTCTTCTCTTCTCATGAGGTGCCCAAAGTATTGGAGCCTCAGCTTCACAATCTGTCCTTCCAGTGAGCACTCAGGGCTGATTTCCTTAAGAATGGATAGGTTTGATCTTCTTGCAGTCCATGGGACTCTCAAGAGTCTCCTCCAGCACCACAACTCAAAAGCATCCATTCTTCAGTGATCAGCCTTCTTTATGGTCCAGCTCTCACTTCCGTACATCACTACTGGGAAAACCATAGCTTTTACTATACTGTACGGACCTTTGTTGGCAAGGCGATGTCTCTACTCAGATTATTGCTAGCTATCAGACAGAGAGTCTCCCATCACCTCCAATATAATCCTTATAAACTGGAGATACTAGGAACAGAACCTGAGACCTAGTTCAGTGGCAGAGCATTGGTTTGCACGCAGAAGGCCTCAGCTTCAATATCCTGGAAGGGCTAGTCCTATGAACTTGCAGAGCAATTGCTTTAACACTGAGCTATGTCCCTTCCCAGCATGAAATAAATCCTGGTTTTGCAGTATGTTGGAAACTGCAAAAATATCAGTGTGTGTGGTTGTCACATAATGGGACATGGCCAGTGAGTTGAATTTGTCTAGGCCTGCCGTAGGGTGTACTTGATTGTTATTAAAGGATAGATCCTTCTATCTTCTCAGGATCAGGCTCCACCTTAGTTGGAAGGGCCATCAGCTGGTGTTGAACATTTGAAGAGCCTGCTAGGGTAGTATTCTATTCTCACAATAGCCCATCAATTGCCTGTGAGAAACCGACAAGCAGGATTCGCACACAAGTCCACTTCCCCCTCCTGTGGTTTCGAACAACTGGTACCAGGGATTCTTGGAAAAGAAGAAACCTGAATTGCACACTCAAATCAGTGGTGTGTGTGTGGGTGTGGGTGTGTGTTCCCCTCACATCAATTCTTCTTGCTCAAAACCACAGCTTTTTGAGCCAGGTGCACATCCATTTTAATGGAGATGATAGGAATGGGAAAGATTTCTAGGTTAGTAGCTGAAAAACATGTTCATAATGAGTGAAGTAATTGAATAAATGCTGACAATTTGATGTGGAAAATGCATAATCAGCTAGCTCTACAAGACGGTTGAGTTATACTTTTTCTCCTTCCTTCCTGCTTTCCTTCCACTTTCTCTCTCTCTCTCTCTCTCTCTTTCTCTCTGCACTGGGATGAACATTTATTCTCTACTGAGCAGGTGATCTGCTCAGCTAAAAAGCAGCCAGGGGCGGGGAGGGAGGAGAAACCTGGATATTTATACAGACACACACACTTCCCTCCAGTGTTCATGCGCCAGTTCCCAAATAATTGACCCAGTTATGAATATATTCTGTGCACATCATGGGAGTGTGTGTGTGTACACACACACACACACACACACACACACACAAATACACCCCCCCTTGCTCAACACCCTCCCTAGTTTTAAGGTGCAATCCAGTGGAATGTCTTGTCCACAAATTGGCACATGAGAAGAGTAGCAGATTGGGTTGCGGAAGGTGGGAAGAAGCCATTCAAACTCTTTTCACACAGTACTAATATTTCAGATCCCATACTTTTGAAACCAGAAGCAATCACTCAGGCAATCAGTGGTTAACAGCACCTATGGGTATGCTTATTCACCCAGTGATCCTGAAGCTGTTTACCACAGAGAACCTGGATGCCCTACATGCATGAAAAAGCACATGTTTTGCATGAAGAGGGACCCAAGTTCAATCCTTGGCATCTCCAGTTTGGGAATATGCCTCTCTGGAACCCTGGAAGACCCTGGTCAGTGTAGGCCATGCTGAGATATTTGGGCCTGTGGTGTGGCTCAGTATAAGGAAGCTTCTCATGTTCCTAAATGATTTACTAACGTCTGAATTAAGGCTGGTCTGTTTGTGTGTTTCATTCCCATATTTTTGTCCTAATCTTCATCCATGGAGCTTGGGTAGCATACATGATATTGTTATAAGTTTGTGGGTGCCAGAGTTCCTCGATTTAGTAAATGTTATAAATTAATCAATGCTTGAATTAGAATATATGCAATATAAATTGTAATGTAAGAGTCAAAGTACGGGTGAGCACTGGTGGAGGGAAGACACACTAGGTGGGTAAGGTGGGTGTAACCTTTTTTCTAATTTTTGATTGTAAGTTTGTGTAGTGTCCTATCTTCCTTCCTTTCTTTCTGTATATGTATATGAATGTTGGATTTTCCTTGTTTGTAAATAAAAAATAAAAAAAATCAGTGCTTGGAGAGTTAAACTGGAAGTCAGTCTCTTAATAGCTAGACTCAGTTTCTTGTGTTCAGTAGAACATTTGAGAGATGGGCCATTAACAGAGAACAAAGGCAGGAAGATGGGACCATCAGCAAAGCAAAGACACAAAGCTGGAGAGAGGTTGAGCCATTGCTGATCCCAGGCTGAATCCCATGCTGCAGTGACGGGAGAAGTAATAATAATAATAATAATAATAATTTATTTATACCTCACCCCTCCCGCTTCAGAAAACCGGGCTCAAGGTGGCTAGTAAGACCCTCTTGGGATGTTAATGCTGTGAACCCCTCCATCATAGGTTCAGGTTGTATATGTGTGTAAATAAACCAGATAGGAGAAAGATACCACAATCTCTATTGTGCTTCATTTCCAAAGGAAATATGAACCCTGGGTGAACGCCTGGACCACTGGAATCTCACACTGCTCAGAGACTGCGGTGCCGTGCAACACTATGTAAGGCCCCACAAAAGTTTTATTTTCACAGCAGTCCTTGGATTAGACTGAGAGATAATTAGAGGCCTGAAGTGACCAAAAAAGCTTCTGAGCCATGTAGGGGTTTGTTCTATTTGGGGGGGGGGGAGGGAGATTTACCATGAAATGGGTGGGTTGCAGCACTCTGTGCTGTTGGCGAGGTAGCAAGGTTTCCTCACTTCCCTTTTAATTCACTTTAAAATCAAGTTAAAGAAAAGCTGTCAATGCCACAGCAGGATCGAAGCCCTGTCTGCTGCCGTCACCCTTTCTCCCTAGAAATGATGCTACAAGGAGAAAAGAGTGCTGGCGGGAGGGGGGGGGGGCAGATCCGCCATTGTGATGGTATGGAAAGAAGGAGGGAGAGGTGAGGAAGTTTCACTGCTGCTACAGTAAGTCATGCTCCCAAAACATTTCAGGACCGGAATCACAGCTCACTAAAGTAGAGATGAATGGAATGGTCTATTTCCAGTCTACCTTAGTTTCACATGAATTAATTCATTAAGTTCATCTAATCATGATTCTGCATCAAACTACCAAATTATAAAAACCCAACCTGCATGCAAATTTGCATTTTGCATTTTTTTTAAAAATGACGTGCACATTTTTCTATGCCTTACCGACAGATATGCATTTGGGGTTTTTTGGGGGGAGGCATCATAAAGTACAAATTTTTGTTTGCATTTTACTGTAAAATATAGAGTTTTGTTTGCATTTCTGTACTTTTTCCAACCAGAAATGTGCAGAAACTTAAGGATAGCTACATTCCAATCAATGTATTAGAGTGGAAAGTGAAAATCAGGCTAGTTCAATTTCTTTAAATGCTGAGTGGAAGAAAACTTTTGAGGGTTCCTACCTGAAACTAGGCACTGAGACAGCCATAAATAGGGTGGTGAATGCATGCAGCTCTTTTGACTCAGGTCTGCAACTGCTAGCTTTAGGCTCCATGTGTGCTATATATTTTTAACAGTGTCATACCACTTTAAATAGGCATGGCTCCCACAGAATCCTGCAAACAGTAGTTTAAGGATACTGAGAACTCTTGTTGTTGTTGTTTAGTTGTTTAGTCGTGTCCGACTCTTCGTGACCCCATGGGACCAGAGCACACCAGGCACTCCTGTCTTCCACTGCCTCCAGCAGTTTGGTCAAACTCATGCTGGTAGCTTCAAGAACACTGTCCAACCATCTTGTCCTCTGTTGTCCCCTTCTCCTTGTGCCCTCCATCTTTCCCAACATCAGGGTCTTTTCCAGGGAGTCTTCTCTTCTCATGAGGTGGCCCAAGTATTGGAGCCTCAGCTTCAGGATCTGTCCTTCCAGTGAGCACTCAGGGCTGATTTCCTTAAGAATGGAGAGGTTTGATCTTCTTGCAGTCCATGGGACTTTCAAGAGTCTCCTCCAGCACCATAATTCAAAAACATCCATTCTTCAGTGATCAGCCTTCTTTATGGTCCAGCTCTCACTTCCATACATCACTACTGGGAAAACCATAGCTTTTACTATACGGAACTCTTAGGAGATCTCTATTCCATTCACATGTTCAAGTGGCTGAACAGTCAATCCATCTTCCCCAGGAATTTGGGATGTCCTGGGAAATGCTGGAAATGCTGGGAAGTGAACCTGGGAACTTCTACATGCAAAGCAGATGCTCTACCACTGAGCTATGGCTCCTTCTGGGAACATGGGAAGCTGCCTTATACTGAGTTAGACCTCCATGTAGCTCAGTATTGTCTACAATGACTGACAGTGCTTCCCAGGGTGGTTGTTGTTGTTATGATTATATGTATCTATACTCTGCTTTTCCCCCCAACAGGGACTCAAGATGGCTTACCGATAAAATAAGAACAGCTAAAAACATAGAGGGAAAACAATAATTTAAAAAATATTAAACATTAATATAATTAAAACTATATATAAAAATCTATTAAGAACACACAGAGAATCACAACAGAAACAGCATGGCATCAGCCCACTCATTAAAAGCAGTTCCTAAAAACCTGTTGGAACAAAAGAGTCTTAAGTTGCTGGTGGAAGGACAAGGAGGGAGCCAGTCTAACTGCTCTAGGGAGGGAATTCCAAAGTCTGGGAGCAGCCTGGAGATGCCAGGGAGTGAACATGGGCTGTTTTGCATGCAAAGCATTTGCCCCACACTACTGAGGTACAATTTTTCTCCAAATACTAGTGATGTAGGAAGGAAGGTGGAAAAATGGGGAAGAGAGAATATATTGCTCAGGACTGGCTCAAGGTATTTTGCTGCTTGAAGTGAAAGACAAAACAGCACTCCCTTGCCATGTTCCAGATACAGAAGCCAAGCTGTGGTTGAACAATCTTACTTCAACATGATGGAATCGTGTCTTCCACCACATCTGATGTGGCATGAGAAACTAATCCAAAGTTTATAGGCTACCGTTTAGAACAAACAAACTCTGCATGCCTCAGTAGTATATGTTGGCAGATAGCATACGTTTCCTAAGAAACGTTCCCAAGAACCAGATGCAGAAAACTGTGGACAACAAATGCTTTGTTTTGGACTTCCGGGGTGGCGCCATCGGTAATGGCGGACTCCCTCTGATCCGGAGGGACTGGCTCCACGGAAAACGGGTCTTTCCCGCTACGGCGAAGCGGGGACCCTTTGAAAAATCACAGGCAGATGAAGCCTGTGACCATGGGACTCGGCGGGCACCTTTCGCGCCCCCCCAACTCGTAAAGGAACCCAGTTACGGGCTCCGGAGCGAAGAGGGGCAAGTGGCGTGGTGCTGAGAGTCAACTGCTTCTTCCGTGGAGCGAAGCCGCATAGCCGTTGCCGGAGAGCGCTGCCTTTTTCCTGGGACAATTTGGCTTTTAAAACAATTACCTGTGAGTAACTCAATTTCGAACAATTGGACTTTAAATAATGACCTGCGAGTAGAAAGGAAAATTGGACTAAGAAATTCTTCTCAACTTGGCATTGAAACGGGAAGGTCTAAACAGGAAGTCAGCCTTCTGTTTCTTGTAGATAGATTAAAGCAAAGACATGGCAAACTAGAGTTCAGAAAATCGTTTGTAAAGGATTAACTTTCATCATTTAAAATTGTTGAACCCCCTTCGGAAGCAGGAGAAGAGGGGGGATTTTTTCCAGACTGGTTAAACCTGCAGAAGAGAGTGTAAAGAAAAGTAATTTTCTACCGTCTCGGACCTGGGAGCGGGGTGTCAGGACTGACGTTCTTTGGGAAGTTCATTGACCATAGACAAACGTCTTTGACAGACAGTTAAAAGAAGAGAAACATAGTGATTCCATCATTCTCCTTCGCATTTTAAAGGAACAAATATTGACAAAATATCTGAAAAAGGAAACTTTGTTGCTAGATCTACTTTTAAAAGAAAAGATCAAATAGAAGTTCTTCCCCTAGAGGAGCCTGTGAAACTGTTACTAAATCTAAATCGGGGAGCTCTGCAGCTGCAACAGATTACGATCGTGGGAACAGACTTCTGACCTTGTATAACAATGTATTCAGAAGCTCTGGTGCGTGCTTTCTGCAAAACAAGTGCCCTATTGGAACAGTTACATGAGAAGACGGACTTGATGACTGTTGCGATCAGAAATTTTGGACAGGTAGTGGGTAACTATATAGAACCCACCCAGGAATCAAATCAGGAGTGTGCTCTGACAGATCAGATGAGGGAAGAGGATGTTGCTGGACCTTGGGTGCCAGAGATGGAGGGAGCTGTGGCCCAGCAGGAACATGAGTTGTTGGATTTGACAAATGAACTTGGAAAAAGCCAGGCTTGGAGAGATAGAGTTTTGTTTGGTTTGGAAATGGGGGGTTGGATAGACCCCCCTATGCAGGGATGTTTTGACTTTCCAAGTCTGGCAATGGGCCGTGAGATGTTTGGGGTTGTGGGGGCTCTTAATTTTGGAGGGATTTTGAAACATGTTTTTAAATACCACATGGAGTTTAGTGTGGACTATGGAAAAGGGGCTGATTTGTCAAGAAGGGTCAAATACACTGTCAAGTTGGAGTTTCCACGAGTGAAAGGAGCAGGAGACAAAGTAAAGTACAGGTATAAATATGAAGAAGAGCTGCGGAAGGGACATGGAAGAGACTTAAGGGCCTCGGACATAAGATTACCAGGTTAATGAGCTAGATTGATGGGATAGAAAGGACTGACAAAACCCGGGACCAGGAGGAAGAGACGCTGGATGAAGATTGGAAGAAAGTTTTTTTAAAAAAATTTATTAGGATTGTTTTATAAAATTGATGAATGTTAGGAAAATGTTGGAACGAAATCATTTGGCTTTAGCAAAAATGTTAAAAGAATTATGTAAGAATATGTTATGGTTATGAGAAATTGGTATAAATAAGATCCAAGTTTTAAGTTTTAGGGTCTTTTATAGTAAGATAAGGTTAAAATAGATTAAGGTAATTTAATGACAGAATATTATGAAAAATGGAAAGGATTTGCTGTGATAATTAACAACTAGGATACAAAAAAGGGAGGAGTGAGGAGGTCGATGAAATAAGGCAATGACAGTTAAGGATTTTGGAATATTGGATTTGTTTTTAAATTTTTGTGGTTTATTTTTGCTTTTTGATTGTCTTGTGTTACGTGTTTTGTTGTCACTTTTTGATTTTGATTTTTATCAATTTGTATTGCTTGATTGCGGTTTGTTTTTCTTTTGTTTTTTCTCTTTCTTTCTTTCTTTTTTTTTGTTTTTCTTGTAATTTTAAAATTCTTAATAAATATCATTAAAAAAACCCAAACACAAATGCTTTGTTTCGCATCCCTGTGGATCTGCAAATCAAATAGGAACATTGAGAATATTGGGGCAGACCAGGCAGATTTCTGCTTTATAAAGCAAGGGTAGGAGAACTTTTACAAACTGAGCACCACATTCCCTTCTGGTCAACTTTCCAAGGGCCATATACTAGTGGTTTGTGGGGCAACAAATGTAATGTTTTTGTTTGCACAGTGTGCTTGTTTCTACGCACAACACATACACTCTTCTCTACCCTCCAACCAGACAAACAAGAGGTATTCTCAGAGTTCAAGGACACATTCTACCCAGTCCACAATACTCAGGGTGTGAAGCAGGGCCATGAGAAGTGTGGTCTAGGGAGAGTTCTAAGGACCAGATAGAGAGCTCTGGAGGGCTGCATTCAGCAGCCAGGCCTAAGTTTTCCCATGTCTGCTCCAAGACAACCTGCAAAACCCAGGCCATTAATACAGTGAAGTGGGCATGCCTCAATATTTGGGTTGGGGGGGACGACGACATGAAAATGTATTTGTCTGAGAATGACTATCGGTCAGGATTTAGAGTGTGTGGGCTTTTCCTCAAACAAATTCTGTTCTTTGGTGATGACTGAAGCATTAATTTCCAGATAGGCTATAGGGTAGTGGTGGAGGAGGGGAGTGATGAATGTAAAACACAAATAAAAAGAGTTATTTTTCCTTGTCTTGTAACTTGCCTGTCGCTCTGTGTATGAGAGTGTATTGCATGGCAACTGCATTCACACTTCTCTATAATAAAAGAATCTAGCAGATGGGCCCACTATTAAAGTCTATCCCCGTATTTGCATATTTATTATTCATGCCAAGATGGTACTAAGTGCACACCGGGAAGAAACACAGCCGCTGCAAACACAGTCGTTGAGATTAATGAAGAGAGGGAAAGGGGTGTAAAACTAGAGTTCCCAAACGATTAGGTTAACAGTCTTTTAAATCAGCATCAAGGCATCAAGATAATTCCATGTCACACACTGTACAAGGTTAGAAACTGGCAGAGGGAAGAAGAGAAGACTTCTTTAAGTGACGAGTGGGAATCTCTTCTGGTTGCTGGACCTCACAAAATTTTTGTAGTACTGGAAAAGGAAAAGAGCAATCAAGATGATCAAGGGACTGGAGCAACTTCCCTACGGCGAAAGGTTCAATACTTAGAGCATTTTTTTTATTTAACAGGGGGAAGGTGAGAAAGTGGGGATACGAAAGATGTGTATAAAATTATGCATGGTGTGGTGAAAGTGGACAGAGATCAGTTTATTTCCCTTTCTCATAATACTAGAACCACAGCGGGGTCATCTAATGAAAATTAATATTGGAAGGTTTAGGACAGACAAAAGGAACACTACTTCAGACAGCACATAATTAAACTGTGTAACTCTCTATCAGTGATGGTTGCCAGCTTGGATGCCTTTAAAAGGAGATTAGATAAATTTATGTCGGATAAAGCCGTCAATGGCTGCTGGTCATTATGGCTAAATGTTACCTCAAGTATCAAAGGTGATAGGCCTCAGAAAAACAGTTGCAGGGGAACAAAAGCAAAAGAGATCAATTGCACTTGAATCTTGTATATGGGTTTTCCATAAACATCTGTGTGGTCACTGTGACTTTGACTTGATTTCAGTAAGGCTTTTGACAAAGTCCTCCATAATATTATTGCAGAGAAACTGGTAAAGTGTGGGATGGATGAGGTTACTGTTAGGTGGATTTGTAGCTGGTTGACTAAGCGAACCCGAATACTACTCACTAATAGTTTTTTGTGATTCTGGAAAAAAAGTGACAAGTGGGGTTCCATTTGGTTCAATCCTTTATAAACTGATTGGGTGAAGGAATTGAGGGGATGTTCAGCAGATGACACCAAACTGGTAGCTAATGCCACAGAAGACAGACTCAGGATTCAAGATGACCTTAAC